TGACACTGTAGCAGACTTGGCTTTTCAGAGTTTGGAAAACTCTTCTATATTAACGTGTTTTTAAACTGTGTTAAAGTTACAGAACATACATCATTTATTTCTCAGCTCGAATACCCTTTTGAAGAGGGTATTACATCTTTGTCCTAATCCTGTGACTCTGGCTTCAGCGTAGACAATATAGCTAAAGAAAGAATTTATCAAATAGTTAACTGTTTAGCTTTTAGACAGCTGTTGCTGAATAACAAAGGATTATGGCAAGGACTAAAAAGGGAGTAAAGTAGAAGTAAAGCATGATCTGTTCTGAGAAATAAAAAACACACTCTTGTTTATAAACACTATTAATGTTGAGTTAAATTTCAGCTTAAAACTACTTCAGGGAGCTTTGAATTAGTTTTGTAGTCCTGGTAGGGTATAGATAAATAAATAAAAATCTGCTGGGCATTTGCACAGTTTGGTCTTTAGGAAGATCAGTAAACAAATACTAATTTCTTTTCAGACATAGAAACCTGAATTGTAAAGACTGTTTTAGAGGTGATCAGGGTAAATATAACATTAATTCTTAGTAAAATCTTGGTAATTCTTAGTAATATTCTGGTTACTTCTTAGTAATTTCTTGATGAAAACACATGACTCGGAGGAAATGAAAATTCCATTTCCAGTGACTTGGGGGACTCTGGGCAATTAACTTAGACCCTGTGTGCCTACCTTTAAAATAGGGTTAACGTAAGGTGTGCATTTCAGGATGCAATGGTAGAGGCAGGAAGTGAAGCATGAATGAAGGCAGGCAGGAGTTGTGAGTATGATTTACTGTCTGTAAAAGACCCTGAGGCTTTCAGAGGGAAGAAACTTCACAAATACGGAGTTCCAGTACTACCGTTGAGGTATATAAGTTATAAACAAATGTTGTATTTAGTTGGGATTGAAATTTTGAATTCTTGATTTGCAGTGTCTAACACTAAAGATGAGATCTTAGTATGTCTTTTAGGAGAGACATTTTGTATACAAATTCAGGTTCTGACTTGACCAAAAAAAAAAAAATCTGATGGAAATAAAGCTCTTCAAATATAGGCGTGTTGTCAGTTCGAAGAGACCTTTCCAGTGTTGTTCTAGACTGAAAACAAAAGCTCTTCTTCACAAAGCAAAAAAAAAAATTCTTGTCTGCCAACCATTTCGTCAGATCACAAAGAGTAAGATTTCAAGTTACTGTTTATTGAAAAGACAGTCAGGAAATGCTCAAGGAAGGGCAGTCTGATTTCCCCCTCCCCATTCTTCCCAAAACAGTGAAGCCGTGTTGTTTCTTGAGGTGGAAGATTTAATGCGTTATATACCTTTTCAGTGGGGAAAAATGAGCACAGGCTGCAGTTCTTAGTCTGGCAGCAGCTTTATTCATTCGGGAAATTCCCCCCACATAGGAATAAAACAACTCTCTCTGTATGAAAGGACTCCAGAAAAAATCAGTAACTGGCATATATCTTGATCTGAAAATTGGGACATGGTTTTGACATAATAGGCTTACTAAAAATTTGGAAAGAATTGGGGATATGTGTATGACTTAATTACTTTGACCTACAGGAGCTAAGGAGAGTTTCTCTGTATCTCTCTGTATGAAGTCTGCCTCTTAAGTGCACCCCTTAAAATTAAAGACACTTGATTCTTCACAAAGATCTGTTTAAAACATATCACGTGTGTTTTCCTTCCCAAGCTGAAGAAAGGGAGCCAAAACTAAAGCACATTTTTTATTTCAGATTGTTTCAAATTTTATTAATGCCTTTCATTTTAATATCTCAGGGACACATCTGCTGCTGTCCTAGAGATGCTTCTTCTCCAGTGTTGCTGACTACAAATGACCTAAAGTCTGTCTTTTTTTTTTTTTAAACGTGTGTCATAGCAGTATCGATGTTTTATAACAAGGCGAAAGTGCCTTATACTAAGTGACAGTATTCTGCAGAGCAATAACTGATGCTGTTAGTTAGTCGTGTCCAGAATCTGGCCCTAAGTGAGAATTGGCAGCGATGCTGAATGAATGATTTGCTTTCTGGAAAACAGCTTTCCCATATAATCTCTGGGAAAATTTTACAGAAATAAAAAACTGACTTTGTAACTTGGTGCAAGACTTGCTCACAGTATAAGGTTTGGTTTGGTGGTTTGACAGTTTTATTTGAATTACTTCACCAAGGTCACTTTTCTTTCTCCCTGTGAAATTCATTGCTGACATAGTAGATGGGCGTATCTCCAGTAGACTTAGAACAATCTATAACAGGAGTGAATTCAGCACACAAAGTAGTACTGAAGTGGCCTCAGTTGTGTTTTGGGTAGAGCATAGTAAGAATTAAAAATATAAATTAATGATGGTGAATTAGTTTCTGAATTAGGCTTTGTTCTTATCTAACTTGATTATTAGTTTAGTTAACTGGGTAAATTATTTCGTCTTGACTAACATTGACTTAGAAGTCTCTGAACGTAGTGTATTGATCATTTCTGAACTCTCATGCTCCCACTGTTGCTCCTTATTTTAGGTGTATCAGACTAGATTGAATTACTGCTACTTTTTTCCCCTTACAGACACATTTATTTTTTCAGTTGACCAACTGAAAGAATAATGCCCTTTCTTTCTGTTTGAGCAGAAAAATCAAACTGGTTTTTAAAGTTTTTAGCCCTTTCTAAAGTTGCTAGAGCAGACTTTTATGAAAAGGCACGTGCACAGGAGTGCATGTTCATTTAACGTCTTGCTTTGCTCTATTTTCCCTAAAATGCCACTGGAAGCAGGGTAGATTTTCTGTTAACTATCACACAGTGAAAGACTTCCTTCTTGAAGGAGTATTGTTATAAGTAGCAGATGTTACTGAATGTTGGAACTTGTTTTGGGGGGAAGAAGAAATGTTTATTCCATTTGAACTTGTTTTACCTGGCATGAACATTGCTATTGGAATTCATCTCAAGTACAGTACTGCTGCTCCTATGTGGCTGATGTTTTTCAAGGAAATCATAGGCCTAAAAATAGTCTGCATAAACAACAGTAAGAGGTTTGTACTTTCAGTTCCAGGTTTTAGCAATATCTTGTTGTTATTTTCTAATTGTCAGTTTCCAAAATCCATTAAGCTGATTAGCAGAGTGTTTAAAAACAAAACAAAAAACCCAAATCCAAAAAATCCACCTCTTGCATAAGGTGGAACCTTGCATAAAATGTTATGCTTAGATAAATTCAGTACAGAAAGGCTTGGTCATTGCAGTAATCACCTTTAAATCTTTATGAACATGTTGTGTTCTTAACATTTTTCAAGCATCCTCCAACTTGTGAAATTGCCACGTGATTCTGAAACTGTGGTCTTAGAAGAGAATATAATGTGGCAACACTCGTACTAGTTGGAATTCATGATTGTTGTACGTGTTTAACATCCTCTATGTACTGAACAAAGAGCTTTACTTCTTTTCCTTTGGATTTAAAAAAAAATAAATTACTTAACCGCTTGGAAGAAATGAGGAAAAACTCCAGCTTGCAAATTGCAGTACACATGCTGTCATCAATTTTATCCTTGTATATCTGCCTCCAAGTCACCGTTCATGATGGAAATTATCTTTACACTTTGTCTCATGTTTTTAGTAACATGTTTACTAAGATACATTTTAATGTGTTTAAAATTCCGTAATACAGACTGAACCATTACTTTTCATTTGTCTCTGAAACAAGATGGTCATCTAGTCCCTGGTGAAAAGGGCTTTACACTGAAGCTGCTGTTAAAACATACAGTTATTTTTCTTCTTCCCCCTGCGCTTCATTAGATGTGTTAGAAAGTCAGTTGGGAAGCGGAGGCCGAAACTGAGGGCTAAGACCCTTGCTGATTTTAACGGAGGTTTGGTTTCTGATTTGTGAATCTGGGACGTGGCTACCATTTCCCCTCCTTTAAATTATTGCCTGCGACCGTAGTTCATGCATTTTCAGCATACCTGCCTATGTGTAGGGATCTGAAGGGAAAACTCAGCTTTTCTTTGTGATTTCTGCTTTATAAAGAATTCATGCAAAGGAATCTAAAAGGAAACTTAAAAGTATATTGGTTTTAAGACTGTGATTAATCATTAATGATACAGGTAAAGTTAACTGTAGAAGTATTGCTAGATCTCCTAATAATACTGAAATGGAAGGTGTCTGAGCACGGTGTAGCCCTGCTGCATACTTCGTGTTGGACAATGTGATTGGGAATGCAAACAGCATAAAATCTGTGTCCTGAAGCTCCTAGTTCACTACATCTTCGAGTCTTATAGTAACACCACAATAAAACAGAGTTAACAAATTGGTTCCTTGAGATTTTTGCGCTTTGAGTTGAAGTGAAAGATAATTAGGAGGTTACAGTTAATTGGTAAAAACATTTTAAAGACTCCAGGATATCCTTTTTAGGTAATGCCTAATGAATTTGAATAAAATACTTTTTTTAATACCCATTTGGCCTACTACTACTTCAGAAAGTAAACTGAGAAACTGGTACCAACAATTGACAGAAAAATCAGTATTCCCTCTCACTTAACTGAATGTGTAATGAAATTGGTTTAGGGATTTCATTTATTAAAAGAATTACAGTGACAATAAATTTTTTAAAAATAGTCATCTTACTTTCAGGAAAATTACATGTAGGCAATTTATTTGAGTCATTGCTTTGCAGTAGCAGTAGCAGATTATATTGTACAATTTATATGAATAAATTACCTAAATTAAACTACTTGTATGTTTGTTAGCAGAGGGAGCAGAGTGGGAGGGGATTGGAATGAGATTACCAGACCTGATTAATAAAACTGTGGATTTGGCCATCTGCTGGGTGGTGCTAGGAAATGCATGTTTTAAATACTAGCACACATATGTTGAGCAATTTAAGTATATTCAGCATTTTGTGAATCTGAGTGCATTAAAATATAACAAATCTTATCTGGGAACCTGTCAGTTACTAAAGTGTTAGATAGTTGGTCTAATTTGAGAATGAAAAGTTACTCTTTTTCTTTCCTCTCCCCAGTTTTCTAGACAAGATTGACATAGTCAAACAAAATGAGTATACACCGTCTGACCAGGTAAGGAAAGTTTCATTAAGAAATTACACAATTTATATGCCCTCTCTGTCTTTGAGGGTAACGGTCTCATTAATTTTCTAATTGCTGTCTGTGGCACTAATACAGGTATTACCATGTACTATACATATTTAGTATTCCAGTAAAAATTACTTTGTTATTTGGATTATGTTTATACATACAAATGTACTGTGAAATTAAAATCTGCCTAGATTCAAGACTTACATCATGCTTCTGTGACACTAAAACTCAAATATCCATCTGAATAAGTAATTTATAATGTTTTGCTTTCCTTGCTGAATAACCGTCATGCACTTTCTTTGATGCAAAGTTGATTGGTATTTTCTCAGCTCCACTGGTTCCCACTGTAAACCAGATTTTGTAAAAACAACCTTGTTAGAAGATTGTATTTTTTTAATCAGAATACGAATTATAGTTTTCATTTTGTTACAGATAATCTGAGGATCTTTTTAGTAGCAAGTCCCTAGCCCAAAATCACATGTATATTCCTGACTTTCTGCCCATAAATAATGCAATTAAGCGTCTAGTGTACTTTTTTAGGATAAATAATCAAAAAACACATTATAAAGTCCCAAACTTTCGCAGACAGTATTGATGAGGAGAGAGCAGTTTGTATCCTTTGAAGTTGTTCAAGAATAAATTAATCATTCATCCTTTTAAAGATATGAGTTTTTTTATAAATGAGGCTTTCTTATCACTGAAATAGTTCTATTTTTAAGAAATAAAATATTAAAAATTTAGGTTATTATGTTTGAAATTTGGAGCAACTAATCTTCAGATACGAAACTTTAAAACAAGTATCAGTTTTATATTGGAGGCTAAGGATCTGCTGCAAATGTTACAATTTATCTGCTATTTAGACCCATTGTGAAGAAAACCAAAACTTTAAGTCCTAAATTATAAAACCTTTAGGGTGGTATTTTGTCATTAGTTATATTTGGACTGTGTACTCAGTCTGCAGCCTATGCAAATCAGGTTCTTCTAGATCAATTACCCACTAGGCATTATATATGGCTGTCACTGCTTTACAATACACAGTAGATAAAAGCCAATACAGTTTGGTTTTAGTAGGATTTTGTAGCATTTATAACAATTTCAATCGTTTGTAGCTTACAACTTCTGATTATCATTTTTGTCTCTACAGGAAATTTCAAATTTTATCTTTGAAAAGCCCAATTCTTATGAGATTTTAGTGGTTGAGCTCCCAGTTCTTTGAAGGAAAAATTGGAAAATTCTGAGACCTAGACACTTCTTTCAATAGCCAAACACTGAACAGCTAGGGGAGAGATCTGTCTTCTGGAGTTGGGAATTATTTGGTGGCAGTTTAAAGATCCTGTTGTGTGCCACTATCCTTCTGAAATCTGTGAATGCATCATCTAATCTCTAGGGATGGGTCTGTGCTGTTCAGAACACTTGCATTTGCTTTAAGTGGCCTGTAAATATTTCCTCCTATTCCAAACTTGGCACTTACAACCTGCTTGTGAAAATATATATACTTTAAAAGTTGAGCACACCCATGTGTTTGCACATGTATTCAAGATCAAAACCTTAAATGCAGCTTCGTGATGCTCTGTTCCCTGTTTTTGCAGTACAGCATACACTATCAGCACTGGGTAAAAAGTTTTTATTTCTATTGCTGCATATATGAAGAATTATGAAGTATCTGTGTTGAATCAGTGACTTTTCCTTTATGCTCTAGGATCTTCTCAGATGCAGAGTTTTGACATCAGGAATTTTTGAAACCAAGTTTCAGGTGGATAAAGTAAATTTTCAGTAAGTATGCTTTTTTTTTCTTTCTTTTCTTTTTTTTTTTTCTTTCTTTGGTGGTTTTTTGTTGTTGTTTTTTTAATACAATGCAGACAAATACCAGGGTAAATTGGCAGACAGTCTACCATATAGTCATTGAGACTACTGTATTTCTCAAGTTGATGTTTAATAGAAAGCAAGTAGTTTACGATGTTTTAATTTAGTAGTCTGGCTTTAAAAAGAAATTCAAATTGGTGTGCAATTTTCTGCTTTTATTTTAAATAGCAAAGATCAAAATGTTTTAAATCTATTTTTACTAACGCCTTTTCTGAGTATTTGATTCATTGCTAGTTTATATAGTGAAATATTTGACCAAAAACTTTGTATATATCTGAGTAACAGAAAATGCATGTTCTCTTTACTGTCCCAGGTTAGAAAGATTGCTTGACCAAAACAAAAACTGCTGAGTTTTAGTCTGGTCTTGTTGAGTTTAGATCTGCCATGCTTGTTTCAGCAAATGACTTGTTATAGGACCTTTTTTAATGTCTTGGCTTGTAAAGGTGAAAATGAATCTACAATGTACATACACCAGAATTTCTTACCTTCAAGTGTAGGTGTTAGTGAAACTAAACATAATTATATTTTGTGATGAAAGCTCTGTGTGCATATGTTGCTCGACTGTTACCTGTTCAGGTTCTCATAATCCTTGATTCCTTTCAGCTTTTATGACACCAAAGTCCTAACATTTCTTATATTTTCTGTTTGCGTTCGGGGGAAAAAAAAACAAAACAAAACAAAAAGTATTCTGACTTGATTTATGATTTTTTCTTAGTATGTTTGATGTTGGAGGGCAACGAGATGAACGCCGAAAATGGATCCAGTGTTTTAATGGTATGATTAGAATTTATGTTTGTTTTATAAAATAGTTCTCTGCAAAATTTTAATCCCCAATCTTAATTTTCTCACTGTGCGAAAGCCATCTTCTTTTCCATGTAGCTTGGTAAGGAATTATCTGGACAGTCATACAGGATGGAATTTTTCTTGACATGTAAACTTCTGTAACTGCATGGAATATCTTTAAGGGAGAATGTAGGTGGAAAGGTTCAAGTTTAACTTAACATACCTTGTCCATTTTCTTCAGCTTCCCTCTCTTCATTTAATTAGGTTTAATTGGTGGTGGGTTTGTGCATTATATGCCAGCTATGTGAGGGTTAAATTCCAAGCTATATTCTGGCTTCCAAATGAAGGTTTACATATGTTTGTGCCTATACAAAATATACAATTACAGGATAATTAATATGCATAAAATCAGGAAATCATATTTTTGCGCATAATTGCAGCCACGTTGCTATGTCATGAGTGCTTCTTTCCAAATCAGCACCAACCCATTAATGCAGTATGAGATTGCAGGGAACATCTGTCTTGTTAGACATGGTATCGCAATACGGTATGTGCATTGTATAGCGTAGCCCCAAAATGCCCTTGTCGAAAAGGTTTATGATGGATTTTATAAATCTGCACTTTTCTAAGGAGCCATGCATATTAAAATAATTTCTTGAAAAACAGCCTAAGGGGAAGGCCCTTACTGAAAACATATGAACAAATACCCTCATTTAAGTAACCTACACGTAAGCTAGATTCCTTAGAATGCTGACATAGCACCAGCCTAGATACAGGTAAGACCTGAAACATTTGCAGGCATTTTGTAAGATCTGGAGTTTTAACACTGATGTCCCCGTCAGTTTAGTTCAGGTGATTATATTCTTAACTCCCATACAATTTAAATTAGGTAGTTTTGTGTGTATGCTGAAGTGTTACATGTACCGTCGATGTAAAATGTTTCTCCACACAAGTTTTCTTAAAGCTAGAGCTGGTGAAAATATTTTTGTCTTTTTCTTTGTTGTTTGGGCAAAATATTTATGAAGCTATGCAAAAGTCTATCTTTCTGTAGAAGAGTTATAATGAGATGCTACAGAATAGATAAAGTAGAATGCAACTTAGAATTCATGGTGTTTTGCTACGGTTACTGTCATAAAGTATCACCTGAACACTTTATATATGTCTGGAACTACTGTGCAATATTTTCTTCTTCTGTGCTATTAATAACAGATTTATTTGGGTTTTACCTCTGCTCCTTCCTGTTACTTCATGATCTGACTCATCTCTTCTGCTGTTGATGTCTGAGGTAGATGAGACTGGAAGTCAGTGTAAGGGTTCTGGAGCAGCACAGCCACACAGAAACACAGACATCTGGATTCTGTGATCCTGGGAGTATCTCCCAGGAAGGAGACAGGGGCCTCTAAGCAGTATAGTACACTGTAGGAGGACTAGAACAGTTAACCATGAATTCGCAGTAATCTACTGGTTTTATTATTACTATTCACGTAGATCAAAAGTGCCATTTGTCCTGAGGTCTTCCCCCAAGGGCCTCCCTGTCCTTTCTTGATAGCTCAGAGTTGCTTTCTAAATTTCTTCATACCTTTTAAATCTTCTTTAAATTCTCCTCTTAGCTTTCTTCAGTTTCTCTCTCTTGCTTCTGTTCCTTTCTTTCCTACATTTTCTGTCATTCTGTCAGCTTCTGTTCTGTGGCCTGCCTTTCCTATCTTTAATGGTTTCTTCACTTTTTTTTTTTTTTTTTTTTATTTCTGGTACTTAGAAAGCTGTCAGCAATAGCATTCCAGCCTGTTCTCTTCATGAAGCTGAAAGTCTGACAGCTTTTTATTGAGCTTTGGGATTCCTGGGTATTTCTTCTGAAGTTTGGTATTAACTAATGGGTATTCCTTGATTTAGATGTGACTGCTATCATATTTGTGGTGGCAAGCAGTAGCTACAACATGGTTATACGAGAGGACAATCAGACCAATCGGCTTCAAGAAGCACTAAACCTCTTCAAGAGTATCTGGAACAACAGGTCTGTGAATTGAAGTTCCATTGTTCGTATCACATAAATTAGTAATCCTGTCTTACGCTATAGTCAAGACTTGCATACTGGGCCTGGCTAGGATAGAGTTTGTTTTCTTCGTAGCAGCTCACATGGTGCCGTGTTACAGATTTTTTACTGAAACAATACTGGTAACACACTGACGCAGCTGTTGCTGAACAGCGTTTGTAGAGCATCGAGGCTGCCTCTGTTTCTCACTCTGCCCCCCCCCAGTGAATAGATTGGGGGTATGCAATAGGTTGGGAGGGGGCACAAGCAGGCAGATGACCCAAACTAACCAAAGAGGTATTCTGTACCATATTAATGTCATGCTCAGCAATAAAAGGGAAAAGAGGGTGGCTTAGGAGGGTTAGCCATCTTGCTGGGTATTGGTCTACCCACAGGAGGTGGTGAGTGATTGCCTTTTTGCATCACTTGTTTTCTTCTCTTCCACTTATCCTTCACTTATTAAACAATTATTGTTTATGTTTTTTTATCTTGACCCACAAATTTTCTTGTTTTTATTCTTCCTTTCCTCTTCCTCCATCCCACTGAGGGGGAAAGTGAGCAAGTGGCTGTGTGGTGCTTTGCTGCCCACCAGGGTTAACCCACAACAGCAGCGTAGCTGGTGTTATTTGCTTCTCACAGCACAGTCCAAGCTAGTCTTTGATTGCAACTGTCTACCTGTTACATTAATGTCCAATACACTCACTTAATTGAAGAAAACTCTGGAGAGTTACAGATTGGTAGTTGCCATATTGAGGCTGAAGTAATTAAAGCAGTGATAGAGTGGCACACTGAAAGTGGATATGCTCACCTGTTTGTTGTATTTGGATTAGCAGTAGAAAGTGGGCAATTTTCATTGCCCGCGTTAGGACCACACAAACCAAACTCAGGGTGTGTACACCCAGAATTACAGCATAGGATTCAGGTATAAAAGGGACCTTTCAAAATTATTATAGCGTGTCATATGAGTGTTGTCTCCAGAACTGGATTAAGTTTCTTTTTGCTGTATGATCCTAGCTGTGCCTTCTCAGAGTGTTTGGTTTCAATTTTCTACAGGTGGCTACGGACCATTTCAGTAATTCTTTTCCTGAATAAACAAGATTTGCTAGCAGAGAAAGTTTTGGCAGGGAAATCTAAAATTGAAGACTACTTTCCAGAATTTGCTCGCTACACTACACCAGATGATGGTAAGATTTTTAAGTTTTATTAGCAATTTATCATTTCCTTCTTAATCACATTTGTAATGTTTTTGGTAATTTCAGCTAAGACTTGAAAACTGTTAAGTAGATGTAATCTTCATTGTCTTTCAGCCAAACTGTAATGTTAAATTGTAGGTATTAATAATGGAAGAATCCTGTCTTATATGCATTTAGTATATAATAATTTCATCATGCCAAAATCCTGTTACTTTGCTGGACATAGTACAGCTTGTCACAGATATGTCCTCTGGACTCCCCCTAGTCATATCTGTGGTCATTTCTCTAACCTGCCAAATGGCTGGTTCTATGGCCACTGTAATATTCCTTTGTTCTCCTGAAATCGTGCTCGTTTAGATAATATATTATGGTTTGTCTTATAGTCAGTTTTGCAAAGTATGTTTCTGTCATATGTGAGCAGAAAACAGAACAAGTTATGATTTTTAGGTGCTATCACCAAAAAACAACTATTTTAATGAGATATACTTACATTATTATTATTCAGCAACACCAGAGCCTGGTGAGGATCCCAGAGTTACAAGGGCCAAGTATTTTATTAGAGACGAGTTTCTTGTAAGTATTTCCTTTCTTTCAGTATTTCTTATGTGATTCTTCTCAAATATAAGCTCTTATGTACCTTCTACTATTGCAAAACGCTGTCACTTTTTGTGTTGTTCATATTTAACTTCCACACTGCCTAAAACACAGTTATGTTTAACAGCCTTACTGCTGTTTGTTAGCTGCTCTTCAGATATTTGTTTGTTGACGCAGTATCTAATTAAATAGCAAAAAAATGGTGAGAATTAGGAAACCTCAAATAGAGTGATGAGTGAAGTCCTGCTGTTATTAATGGGGACAGATTTTTATTCCATGCATTATTTCTAAAGATAAAGACTAAGTAGAAGATGCATCATCCATAAAATATTAATGTTCTTTTCATATTATCTTTCTCATTACTGGTCAGCTGAAGCTATAACAGATTTTTTTAAAATATTATTACAATTACTTGTAATGGTGAGCATGGCAATCAAACTGTGGACTCTTTCTAAAATGGAGCAAAATAAAATTTTGAGGGAGGCTTTCTGTAAGTGTAAAGCAGGGATAAAAGCCTTGTACAAGGAGGCAAAATCCCGCTTTCTTCCTGGACAAATAGACTAGGAGTTGTCTGGCTAATTCACCAAAGCTGCATATAAATAATAGCACTTTTCTGAGTTCTCCTTCAACTCTGAAATTCCCCAGTATGCAGTGGCCTTCTCACCATATAATTCTGATCATTTTAAATGTCATGTTTCAGGTGACAGAGTGAAAAATTGTGGGCGTTTTGCCACTTCGTTACACCCTTTGAAAACACAATGCACACGTACTTACCTTAACCTTCATTCATCTGAGTTTTGAGAACATGGGGGGGGTGCTCCCCAGTCAGTTTTATTTTAACCCAGTATCTCTCTCTTGCTTTTAACAGAGAATCAGCACAGCAAGTGGAGATGGAAGGCACTATTGCTATCCTCACTTCACATGTGCAGTGGATACAGAGAACATCCGGAGGGTTTTCAATGACTGTCGGGACATTATTCAGCGCATGCACCTTCGCCAATACGAGTTGTTGTGATGGAGAGCACTTTTTTCTGTGTTTTGGACTCCTTATTCCTTATTAAAAAAAAAGAAAAAAAAAACACCCTTGCCCACATAGGGTGGAAGAGAACTGTTTGAATCTCCCATTGATTTGCACCCCTCAACTTTTTCTCCTTGCTGGACAATAGCAGCACTTCTAAGCTTGCTTCTGTACCCCTCGGACAGTTTGGGATGGCCCCTAACACTTAAAAGGCCATTTCCATGAGGATTCCCTAACACTGTTATTAACAAAAAAGAAAAAAAAAAAAAAGAAATAAAAACTAATTAATTAAAAGCCCTGAATGTGGAGCACCTGAAAGAATTGGGGATAAAAAATTAAAACATAAAACAAAAATTGGGGAGAGAAAACTTTAGGTAATTTAGCACTGTTGTGGGCATAATCGTATAACCCGTGATCTCCACTTTGTATCATTCACTGCATCAGACTAAAGAAGGTGCCAAGTCACAGACCAAGTTTGAAGACAGACACTTGAGTTTGGTTCTCTGACTGTAATGTGGCTTTGAACGGAAATACTGACAATTCTACAACAGACCTAGACAGTGCAAAAACCAACTGCTACCTTTCAGAAGGGTATTTTTAAAACCAGTCTTGGTGGTCTAAAGACAACCATGGACATTTATGAATTGAACTGCGTATGGCCTGTGATTGCAGAAAGAGTTAACCACACACTGTTTTCAGTTTGTCCACTGATGATCCCGTCTGCTATAAAAATCATTATCTGGACTGTAGTCCTCACAGTCTTTCCCTTCTTTTTCTTCTTCCCTCCCCTCATTTTTTATTTTACTGCTGGATTATTATTCTTGTACAGACTGTAAAATGTATTATTTTGTACAACTTTATTGAAAAAAAATAACTTGTAGAAGATCTTTGTGCCTTGATTATGGCTGTACCTGTACAATGAGCTAAGATGTAAGTATGTTTGATTGCGCTGTACAGCTTTGTCAACCCTATCTGCAGCATTAGCTCAAGGTAGGGAAAATTTATCTGTAGTTTAGTTTTTCTGGTTTATAAAAGAAGGAAAAATACTGTTTAGTAAAAAAAAAAAAAGAAAAAAGAAAAAAAAAGAAAAAAGTACAAATTGTGCAAACTTAACCACTTTAAAAGTGAGGTCTTCAACAAGTGACCAGATGTTGCAGCATCATGCTTTTTAATTTTTAGCTTTAATTCATTTAAATCTCTATCCAAATGCAAAACATGGCTTGTTTCTACATAAACCAAATTTTGCTACAAATTATAAATGTTAGTCTTTGGTCATTCATAGTCCTTTTTGCTAAAGACAAAACCAGAACAATAACAGACACATAGGGCATCATGCAGGTCTGGTGACCATCTCTAGACTGGGCCAAATACCCCACCAACCTCCACTTAACGCTGCGTGGGCATACTACTACCAGAATGACAAGGTGTGCACTGCCCTTGGATTTGGCCACTGAATTCCAGTTTCAAATGACATTTTTATTTCTCTTTTAATAAAGAGATACTTTAGAACCTTTTTGTTTTATATTAACTATATAAGTAGCTTAAAGTGAAGATGTGTGGATTTTTCTTAAACTTGAATAATTTATGCAAATTATATGCTTAGAACAACATGTGGTACAGTAAAAAGAAAAAGAGCAAAAATCACTGTAGCAATAAGAGAGCATGTAATTTTAGTAACTACTACACTGCTTTATATTTTATACCTAGGTGTTTTATGTCTCTGTGAGTGTGTTACTTTTTCATGTGTCTAAACCTACGTGTACAATTTGTACAGAGTCAGAAATTACAGCTGTAATAACACATCTAGAACAGTGTTAGCCTATATTACTCAAACACCCCTGCTCCCCCTTCATTTACACCCCTAAACTGATCTGGATCTTACTGCAGTGACTTTAAAAGGAAAACAAAAGAAACAAAACAAAAAACAAACACCAAAATACTTGCCTCTCTGCCTTTCACACTAGCTTCCCTCCACCCAAGAGACTGTGTTAACTTTCTTTTTTGGGAAGAGGTCCAGTTTAAATTAAAATTAGGGTGTGATCAGTGATGTCTGTGCAGCTAGATTTGCTTCAGGTATCAGATGCCTTTTTAATACTAAGAACTGCAACTGTTCAGAATTGTGAGTTTTCATTGCTTGTGTGGCTAAACGTCTAAATGAAAATTAATCACCTAGTCCATCTTCATGTAAAGAGCAGGGACATGATGGAGTTACTCTCCCATCTCTCTTAATTCAAAATTACTAGTGATCTTCCAGAAGACACTAAAACATCTAAAAATTTTAGCTGCGGTTGCTACTCATCTTTTAAATAATGATCTTTCCTGTTCACAGGTTTAGAAAGTTGCCACCTGAACTTTGTAGAACTGTAGGAGAACATGACCGAAAATAACCCCTTACAATTTAAGAATGTATCCAGTGCCTGTAGGTTAAGGGCTGGTGTTTCCACTAGGTAAAAATGGGACACACGTAGTGGAAAGGAAATTCATTGTGAGCCTTAATTTTAGTTACAGGAGCCAAAATCTTTAATTTAGTGCCAACCCTTATCTTTTTAAGCCTAGGAGGAGTTGGTGTAAACACCAAATTTATAAATGGGGAAAACCTTTAGTGGTGTGAGGAATGTAATCTCTGATCTGAGAGAAACAAAGCACCTCCATTAACAAAAAAAAAAATAAAATAAGCTTCTTCCTCTGATAATGAGAAGGATACATAACAATGAGCTATATAAGAGAGCAGCAGTTTAAGAAACCTAAAGCTTTATGTGAACAGAAATGTTTAGGGGATGCTTTTTTTTTTTTCTTAAGTAAGGAAAAAGGCAATTGTTTTGAATATGGTTGAGTTGCACAAGTATGGAGTGTGTGTGTGTCTTAATGTCTCAGTATTGCCTTTGTTAGTCTCTTTATTAGTCCATGCAGTTTGGTGGCCTGGTAAATGCAAGTCTTATTTTTAACAGCTTTTTTTTTTTTTTTTAAATACAAAAACATAAAGCTTTAATGCTTGCTATTTAATAAGTAACTGTGTTTTCTTCTGTCTCTAATTTAGTGGCCATAACTTGCAGTTAATTGAACCATTCCAACCTAATGCTTACCCATATTTCCTAGTTTTGTTTTATTTATTTATTTGAACTTCTTGTTTTCATGATTGAGGACTTTCACTTTTGTCTCATTCATCTGTTTGGAAACTTCTGACCTTACAGCCAAAACTTAACTCATTCTACTCAGTATTCATCGTGATGCTGAAGTGTAAGATACCTGCAAATGTAAACACTACCACTTTTATTAATAAAAGCAAATACAGTGTTTTAGGGCACATTTGCATCACTATAGTTGAGGTTGTGTCAGTATTTCCATTATAAACCCATAGAGGGTCTATATCTTGGCACTAAATTGCCCAAAGCTAAATCTTTGCCATACAAGGCTTCTGCTCAAGCATGATTTGGTGGGTTGGTTTTTAAACAGTTTCCAACACAAACTCTTGTTTCTGTTTTAAGTTATACAACTGTTTTGTTGGATGGGGGTTGGTTTAAAAAAAAAAAAAACAACAAACACAACAAACAAACCTTGTTCAAGATTGTTTTTGGCACTTCTGTAACTCAGAAATGGTTTTGATTTTAAAACATAACCTTTGGCAAGCCAGTAACCTACAATACGGTCTGATCACTTTGGGTATTTTGTAAAAATAATAATAAATTGTAGAGATGTTGTGGTTTCAAAATCAGCTACTGTGCATTTGCAGTAACTTATTTCAATCCAAGAACTTTTAGTAATTTGTACATAAGTAGACATATTCAGCAGCCAGTGTGATGCAGCAGAACAGTGGTAACTCCTGAAGGGGTTTTTTTTAATAATGTGGAGAGGTAAATCCACTACAGACTAAAAAAAGATTCAGCTGCTTCTGAAAGCATCAAAAACTGCTCTCTTAGAGGCTGAAACTGGAGCACTGTAAGTTGTTAGGAGCAGACTTTGGTGCAAAAGCATATGAAGGCATGCTGGATCAGTTGCCATAGACAGGAGCCCTGAGGGCTTATCTTCATTTGTCTAAAAACTATTTTGAATCGTGGCATCGAGAATAGGATTTAACTTAAGAGTATGTCATTAACTCCAGAGGAATTGAAACTAATTCTATTCCAGTGTGTTGCACATAATGGATAACTGCAGGATAATTTTCTTTTACTGGTAAATCTATGCACAGAAATATTAATGTTCATCACTTTAAAATCGGAGCACCTTGTAATTAGTTGTGGCGCAATATTCCTGTGAATGATGTAGGATGTTTTGTATTATATCCTATTTGCCAATGTCAAAAATTATGTACCAGGGAAAACAAAAGATATAAACATGATTACACAGGAAATTGACCACAGATGTGGAGATAGACCCCATGACAGCTGAGTACCAGTGCAGTGCCTTAGTGATACTACTGTTGGTGATTGGTGCTATACAAATGTCTAAGACTGATGAAGTTCTTATAACTTATAGAATTATATAACTTATTCTGGAAGAGAGTAAGTTCTCTTCTTTCCCCAACTGTATCCAATACGCTATGTGTATTTCTAACAATGCTGGCACTCATAAGAACTCTTCCATGGAAGTAGATGATAAAATTTCTACTAACTGTAAAAAGCAGGATCAGGGCCATAGATTACTATCAGTGGAAATCTCACACAGAAACAGGTCCTCATCCCTAAAATACATGTTGAGTTTGTATAACAGTAAAAATATTTACAAGCAAAGTTCTGTTTGCAGTCCAAAACCAAAACTGTACCCTTCTTCCTCAGCTTGGTATTTCTGAAAATTCATCCATTGGGAAAAAGTCTTTCTGTTCTATGACAAACTTTGAAGTGTCTTTGTAAATAAAATAAGCTACAAAGGGGATTTCTGAACCTCTGTTGATGAAAGGCGTTGCACTGAAAAATCTCTCTGGTGACTGACAAGACAGAAATTCCAAGGGTGAACCTATTTTAATTCTGGTCATAAGCAGTTAGCTTGAATACTGTGAGTGGATGTGTTTCAGTTACTGGGTAGGTAAACTGCTTTAGAGTATTTTACTGTTTCAGCCATGAGTACTGGCTTCATAATTAATTGTTTTCAACTCTGATTCTCATCTTATTAAAAGTTAAAACTGCCTTTTACCCTGTCTACTTTTAATATACTGAGCTGAGCAAAATGGGTGCAGTTTAAAGCACAAGTCTACTTGGAAAAGCAACTTGGGAGGAGCTGGGGAGGCAAACTAATCTCTCACTGCATTAAACATAAAAATAATAAGCTAGGGGTTTTTTTTCTAACTTACAGGTCCTAAACTTAGCCTGATTCTGTGGAGAAAATAGGGACCTCTTCTCTAGGTTAACAACAGCAAGTGCTCACTGACACCTCTGCAACAAGGGGTAACTGACCAAATATGTAATAAATAGTTTTGTTTTTAAGAAAAACAAAAAAAACCACCAAACCAGAATTTACAGGTTTTCCTAATTTTTTTCACTTAGGAAGTCTGCCTCAAAAATCTGTATTTTAATGACAGGACAAAGTAAAGCCTTTAAACATTGTCCCAAATACAGAGAATGATACATTTTTGAGGGAGATGGTATTAGGATTTTTTATGTAACATAACATGCTTTCTAAGGCTGGGGTACTAGTAGACAAATGTAAGCAAATTCAAAATGAAAATGTGAATGTATCTCTTCACTTTAATTTACCCAGTCGTTTTATTAAATGAGTTGGCTAATACTTTTTTTTTTTTTTTTTAAATATACTACTACTCAAGTTTGGCAAAAGCAGCAGCTTAGGACAGAGGTAGAATGTTGGGAATTTTGTTGGTTCTGTTGTTCTGTTATGCAAACTAATATTTTTAGGCTGTGAATTTTACGTGAATTATTAATAGTGAAGTATAGTGTTTCTATTTGTAGTTTTCCGGTATTGGATATGACTTTGGAATTGTATCATTCTTGCAACTAGAATACTAGAGTGCCAGCAGAGAAAGGACCTGCTGTATAAGGGTTATTAATTACCGTATCAGGCTCGTGGACTGTAAGGCTACTTGGAAAGGGGGCCCATTCTAGTTCTTTTTCACTACGTTATCAGTTTTCTGTTGGCAGGATTAGAAGAGCTTCCATAGAAAAGACAAATGAAAGGGTTGGGTGATAGGACCAAATACATGTCTGTGTAAGACCTCAAAGTATTAATGAAAGGTATTTCAAACTTGTATTAAGCTGGAGCCATAGGAGACAGCATGTCTTTCCTGAAGTGTGTGTGTGATGATTCATATCTATCTCGGTATTTTTAATATCCATTCTCTTTTTGCTTGAAGGCACAACATCCAAAATGAAGAAGGAGATTTCATTGAAGCTTTTGGTGCTAACCTTGAGTTCTGTTTCCCACAGGGCAAAACTCTGCTGGGCTACAAAGGTTCATCTATGTAAGACAGTCTGGAAGCCCAGTGCTGGCACAAGCAATGGCTCTTGTTAACCTATTTCTAATTTAAAACTGGGGAGCTTACAGCCGATTGTTTTTTCCAACATCATGGCCCAAAACCTGCTACCTTGGATTCAACTACTTTCTCCTGTCCTCACCCTCACCTACTCTTACAATGTATATGATTGATAAGAGAGAATAGAGCAGCTATGAAAGAAAGTTATGAGACAACCTCACTGAAAATTCAAAGGAACTAGGGAAAGATAGATAAACGAGACTCCTAAATCCATCACCTTGGACACTGAAAAATATGGGGGAAATTCTTCATTCCCCAGGTAAGTGACCCAGTTTGGGATCCTTATACAAATTTTCAAGATCAGAGAATGTGTTTATCTAAAAGGCCAGGATATCTCCAACTAAGGAGCTGCAAAAAACGTACTTATTACATACATTATAGAACTGGGAGATACTTCAGTGAAGTTTAATGATCAATATGCAAGTCAGCTGGAACTTGCTTTGAAGTAAGAAAATGTTTCCACTGTAGGCTCATCTTGAAAAGTACTTGGGGCAGTGTGGGGCTATGCTTTTAAGCAATCCACAGTATATAAATATAGTTCCAAGTTTTAAGTTGATGTCTGAAGGAGAGTAGAATGACATCATGTCAGCAACCTAAAAACCACGTTGTTTTGTCTCGCAATAGTTCTCAGTTACCTAGCAAAGTGTCATGGTGTTCAATGTCTGGAATAGCACTGTTACCAGTAATTGTGAATCTCGAAGTACAAACAAAAATGCTTCATCTTGAGGTTCTGCTTGAGAAGGAAGAACTGTAGCCGAAATTCATTAGCCTAACTTGATGCTGCTGTAATTTCCCAGTCAATTTGAAAGTTATCACCTTATCTCTAGCTGAATGTATTGGCTGATTTGTAAAGGGCTAACAATTATGAAATACAAATTTATGCTAAAAGAATTTGTAGAGGGCAAGGGGTAATTAGCATATAGAGAATGCCAGGGTGGATATTTTTAAAAAACGTCTGAATAAAAGGCAAACAGTTTGGTTAGAAGTTGGCTCTTCTGTTTGGGATTTTTATTTTATTCTAGGAAAGAACCAAATGATGGATGATTTCATCAGCTGTATTATATTCAGCCCTTCTTTAGGTAGGAAATCTTGAAGCATAGTTGTTAAGTAATTCGGTCAAAAATCAAGTAACAAATTTTGATAGTTGGGTGGAATTGAAACTTGAGCATTTGATACTTGGGATACTTGGTTTATTCTTTACTCCCTTAGAAGAGCTATTCCCAACCTTTATGAAACCAACCTTCACTTCTGTTAAAAAAACAAACAAACAAACAAACAAACAAACCCAAACAGATAAAAAACAAAGTAGTTTTCCACGTTTCTCTAGATCTGGCTCTTCTTCACACACATCCACTTTCCAGGATGCCTTCACCGCTTCTTCAAAGCATGCAGCAGAGTCTCTGAGGCTGGCCTTCATAGTGTATTTATTGGGGTCAAGATTTTTATCTTTAATACGCTCACTGCCTCATTACTGCCTTGTCAAAATCTCATTAGGTGGGAATTGTGACTCAAGAATATTTTATACACAAAATATAGTCATATATCCACTTAAGGAAAAATTTGTTGCATTCATTTGCTGGGTAATAAAATTTCAGGGACATTCAGGTAAGTCTAAGTGCTTTTATTTATGAACATTTCACTGAAACTTTGTAAAACACAAATCCATATGGGACAACACAGTTAAACCCTCGAAGACAACCAACATTGTTTCCATTCAAAGTTGTAGAAGTTTAGTTTGCAAAATCAATTTCTGGTACGTTTAGGGTTTCATCACAGTTTAAATGATACCTTGAAACTGTTGGGTTTGATCTGACTTTGCATCTTGTTTATTGACCTGAAGTGGGGAAAGCTTGCATATTGCAATTCTGCAAAGGGCTGTTCAGGAAATGTCTGGCTCTGTTACAGGTCCCTAGTTTTCTCCTCAAGGAAAGTTGAAAATAAATGCTTTGAGTGTTGTTCATTCTTTATATATTAAAAAAAAAAAAAAAATCATTTTCTGTTACTGCAATCAAAATAAAGAGAAAAAAGATATAAAGACAAAAGAATTTCCAGTTTTAAGATTCAGACACTGAAATTACTAGTATAATTAATGTCTAATACTGCTGTGTCTCTCACTGGCAGTTGGTGCTGTGAACTGTTCCCTTTTTCTACTCAACGAAGCAGTAAGTTTCATAACATAATTACCACTGAAGTCCTACAAGGGCAACTGTTGTCACTAGACAAAGCTTTTACCTGCTCTGAAAATGCTTTACTGAAGCTAAGACATACTATTTCAGGCCATAAGCTCTGAGCACAATGAAATTCTCCAGACCGAAGACCGAAATATCCTACCTAGGAGATGCACACCAAATTTCAGTCATGGGAAGGAAGCCTCTCCCACCTATATAAAGACATCTGTTGCATAAAGCATATTTATGTGAGCTTTCTGTAAAGAACTAGGATCTCCTAAGCCTCAAAAAGTCTCAGCTTTTGTGGTTTTCCCATCCAGTTTTGTTGGAATGTTAGTTATGTTCTGGACTCACTTTTTCTCCCAATTTTAAATTTTTTGAACCTTCTGTTAGGGTAGTATAATAGTTACTCTGAAATCACCTTCAGAGAACTTGTCCTACATCTTGCAACACTACGTCATTACAAGCCAAAAAAAAAAAAAAGAGCTGATGAAGCACTGGAGGTGTATAGATGTTTCTTATTTGACTCTCAGAAAACACTTTTCTTTCTTGGTTTGGGATAGATTAAATTCAGGTCTGGTAATTTCTTAGGAGTTTTGACTGGTTAATCATGCTGTCTGTTCTGAGTATACTATTATTTTTTCACATCTACGAGATGGAAATTGCCCACTAAGTGGAGATAAGCCAAAAACTTTTTCTCAAGGATATTTCCATTGGCCTCTAGCCTCAGCCTGTCACTTCACTCCCAGTTCTTTCCTTGTAAAAAATGGCCAGTGCTTCCATAAGCATTGAAAAGTTACCTTACTGTCTTCCTGACTGCAGGCAATCGAGCAATCGTCTAGCACAGGTAGAGAATGTGTCCGTTGTGCCTCTACTTCAATCCATGCCTTTTATTCTGAAAAAGTCTTCTTTTCCTTTCTGTTGACAGAGCAAAAAGAACATTATCCTGGGCTCACAAAAATGTTGAAGAAATGTTTCAGAAATGGTTGCTTCACCACTGTAGGGCAGCATATGACAGCACAGCTCGCACTGTGCTGCAGTTCAGGTGGTGGTGTGTATTTGCTATACTGAAATGTGAAGTGCAGTAAGCCCGTTGGTACAGTGACCACACTTGAACAAGGACTGCGTCTCTTGAAGATCCTACAAAAGCTTATTTCTGAACAGGGGTTTTTGGCCTTCCCTACCAAGCGATTTCATGGACTGCATGGAAGACTATGTAATTTCTTTTTACTATTTTTCAGTTAGGAACTGAATGAGAATAAAGGACCTTTTAAATAATTAATCAGCAATGCTCTTGGCTGCCCTCCAAATCCCAGAACACACCCTCACCCTCCCCTTTCTCACAGTTAAACTCTTACACAACTGAAGAACAGGAGTCGATCTGACGAGAGACAAAGGGACTCTGTTTCTCTCACATGGTCTCCATTTCAGTAATGCCCATCTCCTTGCCTAAGGTCAGATCGTGTGATCAGTTTTCACTTTAGACTTATCCCCACTTCATCCGCCTGTAACTTCCTAGTCTCTCCCTTTGCTGGCAGCCCTCTTGGCCTGTTGCCTTCAGTCAGCTCCCTAGCTCAGCCGGTCTCCTTCGGGACCCTCTCTCTCAGCACCCCCAAGAAGGGCTATACTAAGGTCCCGAGACTAGCACAACCACTGCTCTGGGGACCCAGCTGCGTGTACAGGGGAACAAATCCTGCGTAACAGGCTGCCCTGTGTGGTTACGGATGGCCTAAGAGCCTCAGAAACGGGGAATTTGGCTCATGCTGCGCAGACCTCTCTGCTGCCCCAAAATGAACCTGCTAACTGTAATGCCAGTAGTGTTATTTATAGGGACTACAGTTGGTTTATTCAGGTTTTTTTAGATCAAAGACTTCAGGGTTTTGTCTTGTGCTAAAAGCAACCCCCAAAAATTTTGTTTGCAATGAGAAAAGGCAGAAATGTTATTTAATGCTATTCTCTGGCAAGTTTTGGGTACAGAGGTACACCAATGCTGGTCCTAAAACTTTACCACTAAAATCTGGCCCTAAAAATCTTACCACTTCCATTCCACCAAAGTTATCTTTCCTATTCTTTAACTTTTTTTTTCCCTACTTGTTAGTTTTTTAATTCTACCATAACATTTGATCATTACTATCAACTTGTTGCTGTCGTTCAATACCCTTCCTCTTCAGAGAGCGCGAGGCAACTGCTGTTAACTCAACTGCAGCCAGAAGAGCAACACATCCAATTTTTCCCTCTTCCCTTGCAATCCCCGTCCGATTGCAGCTGCGCTGGGAGGCTTTGGGAGGTTTTGCAGGGTACCGAAGTTTGTTTTTAAACTTCCATTAGCTTCTTTTTTCCCCTCTGACTTTTTTTTTTTTCCCCTCTGACTGCACGCTGTCTTCTGCCTCGGCTGCCCGGCCAGTGCCTAACCGGGGATGAACGGCTCGGACTGGGACAGAGCAAGCCTCCACCTCCCGGGGAACCACCGCCACGGGGTCAGCTTTTACGTTTCCCTATTTCATTTTTATCTGCTGGCGTCCGTGGATCGTTTCAGCCGTAATACACCACGCAACGGCTTCGCCCCCGTCAACGCCAGCTCCAGCGAGAAGCGGCGCCGAGGCCGTGAGGTAACGGCCGCTCCGCCGGCGCAGGCCGCGCCGCCGCCGCCGCCTCCCGTCAGCACGTCCCGGGGCGGGGGACGGTCTGGGGCAGGGAATTCCCAACGTCCCGAGGCGGCAGAAAAGGGACGGCTTTCCCGTACCGACCGTCCCCCCCGCTCCGAGGGCCGCCGCGGCGATCCCCCCCCTCAGCTCCTCAGCCCGGCCCGGCGGCGGCTCCACCCTCCCGGCGCCCGCCATTCCGCGCCGCTCCGCCCAGGGGGGGGCGGTCGCGGCCTGGTTGCGGCCATCGCCGCGGTTTTTTTCGGCCCGGGGCGGGACGGGAGGAGCCATGGAGGACGCCGATTACTTCGAAGGCAGCGCGGCGGAGTGGGGGAACGAGGCGGACGGAGGGACGGTGAGCGCTTGCGGGCGCCTTAGAAGGCGGCGCCGGGCTGCCCGGTGGTGCGGCGGGAGCCGGCTGCTCGGCCTCGGGCCTTGAAGCGGCCTGTGAGGGGGAGCGCTCTCCCTCCGCGCCGCTCTGGAGAGCGGAGGGCTTCTCCTGAGGCATGCCGCCTGGTCCCCCGGGGGGTCCCGGAGGAGCTCCCAGGGCCCCCCCTCGCTGTGCGGACGCGGGGAGCCGCGTCTGGGGCTCCGAGCTGAGGCGAAAAGCGGCGAGCGTAAAGGCGGGCGGGGAAGTCCTCCCTGTGGTGGGGCCTGGGGCTTGAGGAGGTTAAAAAGGAGGAAAACAACTGCGAGAAGGCGCTTGTTTTTTGCGCCGTCTCTGTTAAGTACTCGCATTTGTCTGGGGAGCGGGTCGCTCGCTGTGGTGAAGCGAGGTGTGTGAGGTTCTGTGGGCAAAAATAGCCTAAAGGTGGGAGTATGGCGGGGGGAACTGGACAAGAGAGGTGGCTGACTTGACTGTGCTTGTCAATAGCAAGACGATGAGGACGGGGAGGGAGAAGATGATGCCGAAGTCCAGCAAGAATGCCTGAAGAAATTTTCAACCCCAGACTATATAATGGAGCCGTCAATATTTAACACGTTAAAGAGGTGAGTGTAACCTTATGTGCGGTGTAGGTGTAATGTTGTCACTTTGTATGGAAGTGTGTGCGAAAATGTAGAAATGATGCTATCGTTTTCAGAGTTCAGTTGGTTTTGGTTTTTCACACAACTTTCAAATAGTTCTTTTCTAACCCTTCCATCAGATATTTCCAAGCAGGAGGTTCTCCAGAGAATGTTATCCAGCTCCTCTCTGAAAACTACACTGCAGTGGCACAGACTGTAAATTTGCTGGCAGAATGGCTCATTCAAACAGGTACGATAAGTAGTACAGTATAATTTGGGTCTGTAGTCTTTCTTTTGTCAGTGGCAAATTTGATCATACTCAGGAAGTGGATCATTATAAAGTTGTCATCCTGTGTGTGTATATGACTACGTTCTTTATAATAATACATTTATTCCACTCAGAGAATAAGCGAAGTAATCTGTTGATGAACATTTTGAAATGCCCACAAAATGTATTATAGAGGGAAATATAGTTGAAACAACTGCATAAACTATAGTTTCTTTTTGTTTCATGCACAAGGGCATTACATAGCTGGTGGTAGCAATATTTTGTAATAGTATTATATAATTAATATTGAAAAAACAATTATCTTATTGCTAGTTACTATTTGCTTTCAGTGGATCAGTGGTTAGATGGAAGGTTCTCATACAGATGCCTGTATTCTCTGAGACAAGAATTCCATATTACCAGTCTGCTTATGAATTCTTCAGCAGCTTCTTGCAAGACATGTTCAGCATTATCTTGTGGTATCTTTGTCCCTTAGCTAGTATAAACTTTTGTTTACAAATGATCAGAATTATTATACTCTGGTCTCAGAAATGTACAACTGCTTATTACTACTTTGTGTATTGTTTTGTAGTATATTATCAAAGCTACCGATAGCCAATATATTAAAAGGATGGACTTTACTCTGTAGTGAGGCGGGTTTGCGCACCAACCCTGGTAATCCCTTTTGTGTTTAAGATATGTCCATTTTGGTTTTGTGCCCAGTAACAGTCTTGTGAGATGACTGGCATTGCTGTTTGCGTGACTGATGAAGAGAGCAAGCGAAAAGGACTAGTGTGACCTGCCTGTGATCCTAAACAGTCTGCATTTAGGAAAAAAGATCAAGAATCTGTAAATCTGTCTGTATCAGTGTGGCTTGATAGTAGGACTGATGGCTCTCCTCTCATCTTCTCTGTGTTGATAAATTTCTGAGTAGTTTCTGTTCTCATTGAAAAATTTAAGATGTTGCTGCCATGTTTGATTGGATTGTATCTGCCAAGTGTTTTGTTCCTTCTATACAGGTGTTGAGCCAGTGCAAGTTCAGGAGACTGTAGAAAACCATTTAAAGAGCTTACTTATCAAGCATTTTGACCCTCGGAAAGCAGATTCCATCTTTACAGAGGAAGGAGAGGTGTGCATGGAAAACGTGTTGCTATCTCTACATGAGTGGATCCTACATAGATGCCTTCATCTGATGGAGTAGTAGATGGTGGGGGAAGGGAAACTGTATCTTCAAAGCTCTTTGGTTAAGAAACAGCCAGTTTCAGAAAACCAGCTGTATCTCACTGGAGTCCTCAGAGGCTTAGAGAACTTAGAAACTTTGAATGCATCCTCCTTTGTAATAAAGTTCTGTATAACAACTCACAGGACTCCTGAGAGGTAAAAGGCTTACTTTTAATGATGTCGACAACTAGATTTTCTTACATTTCTCTCTATTGCTCTAATCTTTTTCAGACACCAGCCTGGCTTGAGCAAATGATAGCACATACTACATGGAGAGATCTCTTTTACAAGTTGGCAGAAGCCCATCCCGACTGTTTAATGCTTAATTTTACTGTGAAGGTAGTATACTCAAGTCTAATAAATGAGAATATCCATAAAGGGTTAACTGTTCTAGCATCAGATATTGGGTGTGGTCTTGCCTGTGTCTTTTATGTATTCCTGCTAATACTGCTTATTCAAATATCAGAACAGTACAAGTACACATTGGTGGGAGGAATTGTGTTACAGGTTAAAAGCAGTAAGTGTAGTTTCCCAGTTTGCAGTACCGCTTTTTGAGGGGTTTTGGTTGGTTGGTTTTGGTTTGTTTTATTGTTTGTTTGTTTGTTTCCTTTGATCTGTATTTGAAAATTTTGGATTTCTGGTGCGGGGGAACATTTCAGTCAGTTTTGTGTGTTTCTGTGACAGAGAAAGAATGTTATATCTTGCTGTGCTCTGAAGTATTTTTATATCATTATGGTTAACTTTCTTTTTGCTACGTCTTTATTGGCTTCCTTTTCTGTAGTCTAAAAGATGAATGTGAATTCCAGTGAGCATATGCAGAGGCAAATCTTACATTCTGTGTGTTCTTCTAGACTTGTTACGATATCTGAAATATAAATAAATAATACAAGTTTTCTGTGATGTTTTTGTTTTTATAGCTTATATCTGATGCTGGATATCAAGGGGAAATAACCAGTGTTTCAACAGCATGTCAGCAACTAGAAGTATTTTCCAGAGTCCTGCGTACATCTCTGGCAACAATTTTGGATGGAGGAGAAGAAAACCTTGAAAAAAACCTCCCTGAGTTTGCTGTAAGTTTTTTTTTTTTTTCCTTTTTATGTGGAAAGAAAATAGTGTTTTCCTTGCCAGTTAGGATACACCAGTCATTGCGGGATTGTAGAGAACCTTGACATCTTATCAAGTCTTAAAAAAAATCTTATGAAGAGAAGGTATATCTGAGTTAAAAAATAGAAATTTATGCTTTTTGATCATTCTGTGACAAAGAATTCCTTGGGTTGCTTATGTGACACTTCTTATATCTATTAAATGGATTGTAAAAAGGTGAAGGTAGAACTGTTGTCTTTCACATTGAATGCAAGATCTAAAGATCAGTCTAGTCAGTCCCTTGGCAAATGAAAATAATTCTTTTATCATCCACGTTACTGTGAAAGTTGCCACCTGAATCAACCCAGCATATGTTCTGTGTCGTGAAATAGCATAATGACTTTCAGATGGCTTTGTACTTCTTTTACTTTTTAAATATTGCAGAGAAAGTACTGAGTGTAAGTAGGATAGAATTTCCTCTCAATTTTGGCACTTAAGAAATGAAGTTGTCAATTTAGTTATTTCTTCTTGCATGGTATCAATGCATAGCGATACTATGCTTTTCTGTACTTTCTCTTGGCTGTTGGATTTTTGGTTTTCTTGTTTAGTTGTTTGTGGGTTTGGGGTTTTTTTTCTTTTGATTAGTAGATTTCAGTGAAGTCTTTGCTATTATGGCAATGTAATCACAGAAGTATACTTGCATGTTTCTTGTTGACTGGTAAGATTTTTTTGATGTGTGCTTTCACAGAAGATGGTGTGCCACGGAGAACACACTTACCTTTTTGCTCAGTCTATGATGTCCATATTAGCTCAAGAAGAGCAAGGAGGGTCAGCTGTCAGACGGATTGCTCAGGAGGTTCAGCGATATGCTCATGAGAAGTAAGTGGGAGTTACGTTATTAGTGAAATGTAAGTCATTGGAATTTGTAAACTGCTGTCTTTTGCTCTTTCTTGATTACTTTTTACCAGCAAAAGAAGAATCCTTAGCTGCAACAGAGCAGTTCTTGTAGCAAGCTTTAATTTGTAGAACAACAGAAAAATTCAATGTCCTGTACTGGGAGACCTGAAATCAGAAAAGCAAAGAATTTAAGTTTCTGTCTATTAAAATATATATATTTTATTATTCTACGAACATTTTAGAAACGAACAAGGGAGATACAGGCCTATTTCTATAATTACCTAGGATAAGGGGTTCTGCCTTAAGGCATTACATTCCATAGGCTGTCCCCTGTTGACTCAATGAGACTAAAACTAAAATGTCCAAATTAAGAAAATAAGTTGCTGTGTATGTTTGCTTTTCATCTAGAGGCCATGATGCTAGTCAGATCACTTTAGCATTGGGTACTGCAGCCTCCTATCCTCGAGCATGTCAGGCTCTTGGTGCGATGTTGTCCAAAGGAGCTCTGAATCCAGCAGATATCACTGTCCTGTTCAAAATGTTTACAAGCATGGACCCACCTCCAGTAGAACTGGTTAGTAGTTGTCTTTTTATAACCTCTGAAACTTAATTCTAGTACAGTAGCACTCAGAAATATGAGGTCTTGTTGTGCAAAGTGTTGTATCAACACGAAGTAGAAGCACTCAGACTCATCCCTCTATAATTTTAAGTACTGTCTAAATGTGAAACTACTACTTGTATTCTGTTTTGCATTAGCTTCTTGATTGATGTTTTTTAAATCATTCTAAGTTGTCTTTTTACATACAAGTAAATTAATTAAAGAACCTCTCAATAGGAGGTAAAGATGGCAAGGAATTAATTAACTTCTCTTAACAAAAAAAACCCAAAACCAACCCAAACCAAAAAAACCCACCCAGTTTTGCAATTTGTTATAAGCAGGCCTAAATGGCATGTTTCACATTTCTCACTGCCTCATTCTAACATGGGTCCTGGTAACAAATGGTGGCATTTAGATACTTTAGCAATATAGTCTGTAAGTCTGTTGTTTCCTTTTTTTTTTTTTTTTTTTTTTTTTTTTTTATGTCTTTCTGTCAAAAGTTTGGGTGTCTTCAGAAAACTATCTAACCTACTCTCAAGAGGGAATGTTATAGCTCTTTCTATGCAAGGTATATCAGATGCAAAGACTGTACTTATAGTCGCCTCTCATAATTCCCAGGCTCTAATAAACCATTCATTTTCTTCACAGATTCGAGTACCTGCCTTTCTGGACCTCTTCATGCAGTCATTGTTTAAGCCAGGTGCTAAGATCAACCAGGACCACAAACATAAATATATTCACATACTGGCATATGCAGCTAGTGTAGTAGAGATGTGGAAAAAGGTAACGTTCAGTTCTGTGAATAACATTTTTCTTGGTTACAGTGGCCTGACTGTGCTGAAGAAAATGTATGGTTGTTCAGCTGCACAGTTTAAAATAATGTATTCAGCTTGATTTACTTATTTTAATATGACATGCTTCTGGCTTCAGCTGAAATGACTAAAAAATTTAGATCCTGATGATCAAATAGTACTATAAAAGTCTGAGCGTACTGAGTATTTTTGCTCTCTTCCCCACCTCCTCCCAAAGGTTATCAGTAGTAGTTCTGTGCTACTAGAACCATATGTACGTGCGTTTTCAGAGGAAGAGGAATTTAATTTGATGAAGTGGATAAAGTAATTCTTAGGGAATTAAGTAAAGCAAACGACCTTCAGCTCATTGATAATTAGTTCTTCTGAAACTTGTATTTTAGTCTAAATTTTGAGAAACATAATGTAATCTTAGGCTTATTGCAGGTTACAATTCCTTTCCTTAAATAACCAAAGACATCCAGTATATTCACAACTCTTGCATACAAACTTTGCAATTTTTCAGAACAAGAGAGTCAGCATAAACAAGGATGAACTCAAGTCAACTTCAAAAGCCATTGAAACTGTTCACAATCTGTGTTGCAATGAGAACAAAGGAGCATCAGAGTTGGTTGCAGAACTGAGCACTCTCTATCAGTGCATCAGGTGAGCAGAGAGACTGGTCCTGAGCCTCAGTTGTTGGAAGGAAAATATTATTTAGGAGAGGTGGTACTGCTAAAGGGGAATGCCTTTCTGGGCTGCTCTGTGAGGACATCCTCATTGTAGAATACATGAAGATGTGGTCTGAAAGCAGCTTTCAAAATTGTACATCTGACTCTTTGGAATCTCTCTCATGAGGACATAAATTCTGGCTTTCACTGACAACTTGTCCTTGTGTCACAGAACATGCTTTTCTCTGCCACTGGAAAAAGATGATAGATTACATTGTCTTCCTAATAAAGCTTTCCTAGCAATAGGTGTGTCCTTTTTTCTCCTTTTAAAAGTATGAAACAACAGATAGTGGATAAACTGGAACAAACTTGGAGCGTACATGAATTTTGTTGCCTATTTTTTTGGTTTTTGTATTTTGTGCTGAGCAGGGAGTGTCTCTGTAGAAAGAATTTTCCTGCAGCCTATCTTTCCCCATCCCCCCCAACCCCCTTTTTTGACGAACGCTACTCTTGATGTGCTGACAACTTTTCAGGCAAAACTTCAAGCTTTATGAATTTTGCTGTCAGTTAAACTGAAACTCTAGCAACCATTAGAATATACTGAAAGATTTTTTTTTTTTTCTAATTTACTGGGAGTTTTTTGGTTTGTTTTGGGGTTTTTTTTGTTTGGTTGTGGTTTGGTTTTTTTGCTTTGTTTTTTTTAATGCTCCTGTGCTGAAGCGATCTCTTTTTCTGCAGGTTCCCAGTGGTGGCAATGGGTGTATTAAAATGGGTGGATTGGACAGTGTCAGAACCACGATACTTCCAACTGCAGACTGATCACACTCCAGTTCATCTGGCATTATTGGATGAGGTAAAAGCATATATAAAACCTTGCTGGAGAGTAAGAACGGTTTTGATACTTGTAACTGGAAGTACATCCAATTCACTGAATGCCTATCATTTGCAGTAAGTCAGTAAATATACAGAGATTAATCTGTTTCTGTTCAGAGTTAATTATTTGGTCTTGTCAGCTCAGTATTATTTATACTAGGAAAACTTAGGCATCAGAGAAAGAAATGGTGGAATATTTTTCTAAAAGAATGTGCATCTGGCACTGAACATCACTGTAAACTTGTCTAATAAAGACTGGTGCATTGGTGTTTAAGTTGAAGTCCTGAGGATCTAACTTTCCTGTCTTGTTTCAGATCAGTACATGCCATCAGCTGCTTCATCCCCAAGTTCTACAACTTCTTGTCAAGCTCTTTGAAACAGAACATTCACAGCTTGATGTAATGGAGCAGGTGACTCTCAAAGGATTCAGTATTTGTGTTCCTTCATATTAGTTAAGCTTATTCAAGATAATAGCTTTTGCTGTCACAGCAGTTTTAAGAGTTTAATTTAGGAATATGGTCATGGTAAAAATGTAACATAGCAGATATTGAATCAATATGAATGAGCAATAAAAACTGCACACTTTTGAGAGGAAGTTCTAATCTGTTGGTTCTTCCCTCCCCACACTGTCAGCTGGAATTGAAGAAGACTCTCTTGGATAGAATGGTGCACTTACTCAGTCGAGGATATGTTCTACCTGTTGTCAGCTATATCCGCAAATGCCTGGAGAAGCTAGATACAGATATCTCTCTCATCAGATACTTTGTTACAGAGGTCAGCAGCAAAAATTGTGTTTACTAACATATAGAAATAAACTTTAATATCAGTTGTATGTGTTTGGATATTAAATCAGCTTGCCTCAGATTCAAAAACGTTTCAGGATACGAGATCAGATTCTGAGCAATGTATGTAATATCAGTATTCACTAGGATGTGAGTTAGTCCTACTGACTCCTGACTTCTGAAAGTATTAAGGTACTGGATAGAGTACCATAAGGATACATAATTAACTACTTGTATGGAGAACAAGAGGTCTTAAGTGCAATTACTTGTACCCTTCCAAGACTAGTACTATGAATTAAATATTGTCCCAACTACCCCTCTAACTGGAAGAATAATCTATTTCTGTCTGCTGTTTCAGGTGCTTGATGTGATTGCTCCTCCATATACCTCAGACTTCGTACAGCTTTTTCTTCCAATCTTGGAGAATGAAAGTATTGCAGGTACTATTAAAACAGAAGGTGAACATGACCCTGTCACTGAGTTTATAGGTAAGTCGCATTTATTTCTTTGCATACCTGCTTCCATTTGTATTTGTTACAACTTGCAAATAACGTTTAGGAGGAGGATTGCTAAAAATAGGAATGTCTGCCAGATATTTTCACAGATAACTTCCCTGTTAAGGGCCTGGTTTTTAGCAATTTTCCTTTAATCAAGAATCTCTGGGTAGTAGCGAGGAACTTGGAGACAAATACTGCTTTTTGAGAACTAGCACTGTAGTAAGGAAAGGATAGGAAGGGAATAGTCTGTCATAATACACTCCTGTCCTAAAACAAAAACATCTGTCCAGACCCTAAAATCCAAATTATTTACGTAATGCAGAAATCCACGTGCAAACTGATAGATCAGAGTAATGTACTGAATGCTTCTTTTTTTCTTTTTTTTTTTTTTCTCCTTTTAAGCTCATTGCAAATCTAACTTTATTATGATGAACTAAGCAGTGGAAAATATCAAGAATGCAGAGCACATGATCACTGCTTTGCCATACTCTCCACCAGTAAGGTTCTGTAACTGGGCAACACAGCAGAGAAAAAACCAAAACCCAACAAAAAAACAAAACCAACAAACCCAAAACAAGGAAGAAAGGGCTGAAGGGCGTTTGATTGACTTGTATGGTGACCTTGAGCTTCATATCAGAGGACTGTTAATGTACTTTGGAAAATGGAATAATATTGAAGGATTTTCTGTTGTTACACAAATTAGTATAAATCTGAATATTCTGAAGGGGATAGCAGGAGAGAGACAGATTTATTTCAAAGAATGTTATTTTGGTTACTTGCAGAATTTGTCACTGATTTTTAGTGTAATATATAAAACCTGAAGAATGAGGAAGGTAGTTCCTACTAAAACCACTTTGCAGATAGTTCTTTGAAGGCTGGATCTTGAATGCTCTAGGTTTTGATGTTGTGAGTTGTAAAAAAGGAATTTGTGTGATTAGCTCTGCTGCAGAGAAGCCACAATGCCTCTTTCTCACCTTTGCATTATATTAGAATTCTAAATATCCTACATATTTACTGCTATGGAAAAAAAAAAACCACATTTTGTGTAAGTGGAGTTGTAACAATCAAGATTAGTTTTGTATTAACAGATGAACCCTACGTGAGTGTGTTACCTTTCAGAATCTATTTTTTGTTAAATAGATGCATCAAATGTTACTGGTAAGTTTCATTACCATGTCAGAATTCTACTGCTGTCCAGAAATATGAATGTGTGCAGAAATTTCATTACTGCTTGTTGTGGCTTGGTTTTTATACTTATCTCTACTCTGTCCTGGTTGATGCCAAACAGTGGGGGATATACCCAAGATTATAATTCACCTTTCAATAAAGGTTTTTTTCTTTTCCAGAGATTTCTTCTGAAGTTTCATTAAGGTGACTCTTTTTTTCTGTTCATTGGGCTGGATTTCTCTTTGTACAGGTTTAAAAGTGAGGGGTATAGACAAGCCCGCTGCACTTTTCCAAGCACATCTGTTTTCTGAAGAACCTGCCTTCTAAAAGCCACTGACGTTTTAAGTCCAACTGGATGTAAATTTAAAAAGGAAATCACTTTGTTCTTCTCTGTTAGTGATTCATTAATGGGAACTCTAAGCTACCATGATAATTCTTCAGACAGCAGCCAATTGTATAGATTCTTAACTCCTTATAAAAGGGAGCGCATCTTCCCTTTCCTCAGCTGGTCCTTCTCATACATGCTCCACAGTGACTGAGCTTACCCTAGTTAACACTTGCAGTGCTCTCTTCAACTTAAAGCACAGGCTGAAAAGGGCAAAACTTGCTTCTGCAGAAGCTGTTCTGAACTTCTTTGTGTATCTTTGAATAGAAGATGTACCATCATTCCAGCTAACTGTCACCATTTAAATTTGCATGAGACTTTTTTTTTCATAGTATTTTAAGTAGAATTAGCATACAAGTTTGGCTTTTGGTAGCCCCTGACTTCCTTTCTTCGTGGAATTAACTACAGAAACAATTCACCCATTAGAGCTTCATTTTAGGATGTAGCCCTGTATCATTGTTTAGTGATAATCAAGAGCACTTTGTTCTCATGTCCATTGCAATTTGCCAGCTGTTTAAACAGGGTATGCTTTTGCTTTCCTCTGTGTTCAAACTTGGTATTGCTACCTCTAAACACTCAAGTTCCTCTGCACTTCACCATGTAGATGATTTTTTAACTAGTTAAAACTTCTGTGATGCTGTGATCAGTACTGTCATACTACTGTGTTCATATCTCAATGGAACTCAAGTTACAGCAGGCACTGCAGCTTGGCAGAATTAATCCTTATTGATCCTAAGGAGTCATTTTACTATGTATGGTAAAGCAAAGCCAAGGAGACAGATGGAATTCTCTTTTGCCTAGATTTATTATTGTCTTTCATGCCTAAGAAGTGGATGGTGGATGAGAGAGATAAACACCTAAGACTAGAGCATGATTCTTGTATATAGGAAGCCAAAATTAGGCCAACATCAACCAGAAAAGTCAGTTTTTGAAGTCTCCTAGCCTACTGGAATATGGCCTAACCTTAGGTCTAAAACATGTTCTTATTGTCACAATACTAAAAGCTGTGCTGTTTGAAACCTAAATGATCAGAATAGCACAACCATCTCAACTTCATCCTAGACACTAGCAGTTATATGGGTCTTCACTGTTCTGCCAAACTTACCTTCTGATTAGGAGCAGACTTCTTTCACAGATAAAACTAAGGTAAGTTGCAGAAGCTACCAACTGGGAGGTAGCAGATAATAGAGAAAGTTTCTGGACAGACTTTCCTCCTCTGCACCACTAGAAAGCTTTAACTTACAGGTTTGAGTGAGGCATAATTCACAGGTTGGTTTAATTTGTGATAGGTTGTGGAGATCAACATCTGAAAGTGGTACTGTGTAACTTCTGACTGTCTTTTCCCTCCCTTGCTTGGTGGAAGTTGAATTCTTCCTTGTATCTTAATCTCCAGTGTGGACAGTGTAATTTAACTTGGAATTGTTGTTTGAACCATCACAGTTGTTGTGAAAGGGTTGGTCAACGACACAATCTACACAAGAAAAGTTCAGTAAAAGCAGTACCATCCTGGGTAAGCTTTGGGTAGCTCATCTACCACATGAGACTACTTGCTAGGTACAACAACAGAAGATGACCAAAACCATGTATTAATAAGCTCTTGTAATACACATACAGTCATGTAAGAGAAAAAAGTGTTTATTAACTGCAGTTAACAATGTTAGTTAGTAATATTTGATATGGCACTGATTTGCCACTTAAAACTGAGCCAGTTACTAAGGAAGAGAATTTACTACCTTTCTTCAGATTAGTTAAGAGTTCTGGGTTGTGGCAATTAATACTTTGCTGCTTTAGGAGAAAAATGGCACAGCCAGTCACATATTAAAGCAAGGAATGTGAGTAAAGACAAGACTAAATAACTAAGAAGCGTTTAGACTTTATTGTTTGATCAACGTAATTCCTGTTACATCATTTGAGTTGGATAAAAGCAAGTGCGTTGTATGATACTTCCAACAACACTGTCTCACCAGGAGGCCAAGGAAACAACAGGGAATTTAGGTTTTGAATGTATCATCTCCAGACTTAGCTTTGTTTTTCATCTGCATCACTGTGAGATGGTATTTGCTTGATATTGTCAGAGAATTTAATATAAGCTCTAGACCCAAATATTGAGTATACTTTTTCCTTCCCAGTATGTCTACGTAATTTGTATTTAAAAATATACAGAGATTTACATACACAGTTCCTGTGATTAAGTCAATACAATTTAAATACCATGCATCAAGGCAGACAACTTTCTCATGAGTAAATTACTTTAAGTTGTAAATAATTATCTAAAGGCAGCTCTGTATTTATGTTACTCTGAAGACATTGTGTGTTGCATCTGGGCTAATTTTGCAGAACTGCCAGATGGTGTTGAACTGTGAAAGAGTTTTAGACTACTATTCTTTAAACAGAAAAAGGTTATGCTGGGAAGCTTCCAATCAAAGCAGTTCCTAAACAGAAAGATGTACAATATAGAATCAAGGAACTACAGCATCTCCATATGCACAGTCTTCTTCAATAGCGAGATTGTACTCTGCTCCTCTTCCACCCTTATATGCACTGGTCACAATTCTCAGCCACCCTCTTTCACCCTGTAAAGAATCAATTTGTATTGTGAATTAGAAAACATAACTATAGAAAATGTATGCTATTGAGTCTGTTCTGTCTTCTAAGTATGAATGACTTGTAAGTGAATCTAGGAATTCAGTCAAGATGAAGTGTAACACTGGGTTCTCAGGGCAGCCTTGTTTAAAGGGGCCATCTGCTTTGGTGTATTTACATCCCCCTCATCTCTTCCAGTTATGTGACTTGATTTTTGCCTACAACTAACAGTAACTAACAGTTGTCCGTAACAGGAGCTGCATGTCCACAGAAGGGTAGCATTTGGGATTGAGTTGACATTACTCAAGTAACTTTGGCTGAATATCCCTGTCTTCATTTTTTAATTGCTAGTCTAGTTCAAAGAAAGCTTTACTTTTCCTATCCACACGCTAGCTTTGCGGCTTCCTGTTCGCAAGTAAGAAAACCTACCTTTCCTCTGAAGTCATTCTGCAAATATGTTTGTTCCCATGTTTCCTTACCCAGGGTTCACCCCATGAGTTACGAACAATCCAGTATTCTGTTCCATTTTCTACACCCCAGCCAGCCACAGATACAATGTGATTCACCACAGGTGAGGTGTTGTACTCTGTATAAAGTCCTCCAGTGTAAGCATCCAACTTTTCAGTAGCCATTATGCCACAGCTGTAATAAAATAGAGAAAGCATTATTTTTTTTTTTTTTTTACAAGGAGATCAGGGCAGGGGCCTGGCTAAAAAACAATTGGTTTTCTTGCATTTTGACTTCAGAGCTTAGTTTATCCACAAGCAAGCTAAAGTCTGCATATTAGTGCAGAGCTGCTAACATATGCTGGAGTAGAGAAGTACACTTCAGTCATTAGACTGAGTTTCAAGTATTTCAATCCCAATATTACTAGTAGATAAACATTTTCTTTTTTACCATTCAAGATATTTTTTTTTTTTTTTTACCTAATCGGTCCATTAGTATAGATTTCTGCCATCATTTTTTCTCTTCCACTGACAGACCCGTAGTCAGCAACTTTCCAGAGAGTGTAGTTCTTTATCACATGGCATTCTCCAAAAGTGACGCAAGTTCCACACTGGTTAAACTTCTTACACTCTACAAAACAAAAGTGAGATTATCACTGCAAGAGAATGCTTTTCTTCAAGTGAATTAATGATATGACACTAAGCTTTTTTTCCTTTTAACTTATTTGAAGCAGATATTAATACTGTCTCTGGTGAAATAAATTCTTTTCTGGAAGCCACATTTAAAAAGTCCCTAAAATCACTAGTTACTATTCTTTACTTCATAGGCATAAGTGCTTTGAGGAGAAAGTGTTTCAGATGTGCTTCTGTATAGATACAGAAACTATTCTAGTCATACATGACCAGATAAAGGTTACATTTCTCCTTTGTTTAGCTTGAAGTGACACTTGTAAATATTTTGGTACATTAGAGATTGTATATCAGAGACTTAGGAGATTAAGTTAAAACAACCTAGCTGTGCAAACTTGTCTGGGCATGATTTAATGCTTTGCTATCTGGCTAGAGTAGAGAGACACACAGAGGCCTGCAAAGAAAACCTGTTCTGTCAGTCAAACAGCAGGTATTACACAGAAAGGCAGGAACCAGTATACTGAAAACCCAAGAAACTGTCTTTTTTTTATATGTATATATAAAAATCTGCTAAACCTGGGATGAAGCCTTACGGCAAACCAAATAGGCATCATACTTTGATCCTTAGCTTGGTAGTTGTTGCAGGTCTCGTCTGGAATGCCATGGTCATGGGCATACATCCAAACACCTGAGTGGTCTCCACCTTCGCAGGATCCTGCGTCAGCACAGTCAATCACATTCTGAACAGAGAGGTAGGCAGAAGGCCATGCACCTTTTCTCTTTATGTTGATTCGATCTGTAAGGATAAGA